CCCCCCCCCCCAGCAGTGTCGCCGGGTCGTGGCGTCGCGGCAGCTCCGCCAGCCCGGCCAGGCCACCACCCGGTGGTCCTGCGACGCGGCGCGGCGACGCCCCGGCAGACGCTCGCAGCTCGTCGCCGGGGAGGTGTCGGCGGCGCCCTTCGAGGCCGTGCCGGTCGTGCGTCAGAGAGAGGAGGTTCGCGAGCGTGCGCGCGTTTCAAGTGCACCGGGGAGTGGTCGGGGTGCGGGTGGACCTGCGGACGGCCTCCTCGTCGGGCGGCCGGCGCGCGCCGCTGCGCCAGGTGAGTACCAGCAAGCGCGGCCGCGGGGTCTTGGGGTCATACGCCCGGGGGTCACGGCTCCGGATCCTGAACAGGAACAGGTGGTTGTTGCCAGAGGCTGTGAAGCTCTTGTCCGGGTTCGGTTCGACACCGAATGATCCCAGCAGCTGGTGTCGACTTCAGTGGAAACCTTTTAACCCATACCTACCCACCAACAATAACAAACAACCAACAACCCAATCCTAACGATCTCTCAGCAGTACAGGAGAGGGAAGAAAGAGATTCTCAGATAGCCCCCAGCCCACCACGCCTATGGAGCCCCCGTCGCAGACGGCGTAACGGAGCGATGCGCCCTCTTTCTCCTCACACAATGACGTCACGACGTTCGATGGCATTTTTCATTTCCAGAGTGCCCTTCTCTCCCCCGCCCCACGTCCACACGCCCGCTCCGACCCCCTCCCTCCCATAGATCCCTCCGTCTCCCCTCGTCGCTCTCCACGCTGCGCCCGTCCTCCCCGGATAGGCACTCCCGGCAGACTCGGATGCGATGCGCGTCGCCTACCTGTCGCGCCGCAGGCGGTCGCCTCGGCAGGCCTCACAACTTTCAACTTCAACCTCAACGCGGATAAAGACGTCAGTTCACATGAACTTGAATCACCGGCTGCCGTGAAAACAAAGGATGTTGTTCTCGTGCTCCACGGACCCGCTTGGTATTGTGAAAGCAATATCATCTGTAGAACGAAAAGAGACACACGGATGAGTAGGTGGTTACGAACCTGTGCGTTTTGCAATGGATGCTTTGCATTTAACATGAAACATTTCGGCTCAAGTTACTTCGGTAGACCGGCTCAATCAACGAAGCAGAGAACGCGAATCAAAATTTCAACGAGTGCGCTTGCGCTTTTGTTCTATAATGTGGGTATTTTATTAATTGTATTTTTTCTAAAAAACAACTGTCTGAAAATACAAAAGGCACCGCACCGCACTCGCACCTCCGCCCGAAACACCTCCTCGTGAGTCTTGAATTTATGACTTCTGCTCCTCCTCCTTTCCTCCCTTCCCCTCCTCCCCTCCAACCGACCGGGCCAGGCGTTGAACTCCCAACCGTATTTTGTTTGTCTGTGGCTCGCCTGCTCGCCGGCGGCCGCCCAGCGCACCCAGTGCCCCCTTCCCTCTATTTCATACCCCTTCAGGTGTCTCTCTCAGTGGGGTTTAAGAAAGGGGGACTTCTGACTGACGATAGAGTTGCTATTCGCAAGTGAGAGACGCAGTGCGGGTGGCGCTGGACGGAGCGGGGGAGGAAGAGAGGAAGGCGCTCAAAGCGGCGTATGGTTAACCCCGCGCTTCCTGCTGCCGCTGTCGCGTTAATATTCGCAACGAGGGCACCTCAGCCTGGCGGGGCAGGGTGCGGCGAGGCGGTGCGCGGCGGGACGCGTTGGCTACGCCGAGGTAGACAGACCCTGCGTATAGCGATTTATCGAGAGCACCCAGTCCCGGCTTCTTACCACCACCAGGAGGACCACGCCGAAAACGAAAGCGGAGGGTTTTTTAACGGGGCTTTAAATTTCATCGTAACCTTTTTTTTATTTCACTCCCTACCGTGCTCTTAACATCGGGGCGTGAAAATAACTTTCTCCTTTTTTTGTATGTGTAGGAATGGGTTTGGGGGGATGGCTGCACGGCGGGCGGTGCAAATAGACCCGGCGCGATTCTCGCTAGAAATGGTGCCACTTAGTTGGCGTCAGACGGCGGCGGCGGCGGCCTCAGCGGCCCCCTAGGTCGCTGCATTGTATGCCGTCTTACCCCTACCTCCGAGAATAGCTTTGGATAAACGGCAGCAAAGTTGCAAGCGGCGAGTGGGCAGACACTGGTTGGCACATTCTGCGTTCGCACATTGCACAGAGAAAAGGGAACGTGCGTATGTGTTTTACAAAATTGTATCGAACTATCGTTTTTTGCGCATTATTTGTTTTTGTCCAAGCATAAAAGAGCAGTATGGAGTTCGTTCATTGTCCCACACAAAAATACGATTTAATTGTTTAATTGCTTATCCATGCGGTAAAGTATGCGAGGCTTACAGTTGTAGTACCCGCCGGTATTTTGGAGCGTAAGGCAGGTAGATAAACGGTTTAGATTGTGCTTGTCGTAGTCGGCCCCCGGAAGAAGCGTGTGAAGTGCGTGCTCGTGTACACACACACACTGCCCCACTGGCCTACCACCAGACTGACACCCCGGCCCGCGTCATGGCATGGGAGCAGCCTGCATATCCTCCCAAATATAGACCCGGAGGAGGGGTGCGGGGGGGGTGGTGGGGGCACGACAAGTTGTCAAACGAAGAGAGAAACTGTCTCTTGGCCGCGCATGCTGCTCGCGCGGGGCGCCGCTGCTGAGCGTGGGAAGGGTGCGTGCACCGAGCGAATCGTGTAAGTGTAAGTTTAACTGTTATGCTTACACTGTAAATCTGGGGTATCCAGCAAGAGTGTGACCTAAGTCGTACAGAAAAACCCGGGTTAAATCGCACACAGCTGCTGGACACTCCAGATTTACAGTGGTTGTAGGTGAAGTCGGTGGCGGGGCGGCGCTCCCGCGGTTGAACGGGTTGAGGTTGGCAGCAATGTGCATGCCGAGAAGAAATCGTGCGGTTCGAAGCCGCGGGGCGGGGGGGGGGGGGGGGGGGGGGGGGGGGGGGGGGGGGGGGGGGCGATCGCCGGTGCACGAACTCTTGCCCAGCAGCAGCATTCAGTCCTCGAGTACGACGACTCGATCACCGCTTTAACCCGCCCCGCCCCGTCCCGCCTCGCCCCGCCCCTCCGCGACACGCTCTTCTAATCCAACCAATCGTCTGCTTGAAGGCGAGTGGCGAGCGCAAAGGAACGAGGCGTCGACGGCAGAAAATACGGCGCGGCGCCTCCCGGGCAATGGCGGGGCGGGGAGGGGCGGGGAGGGCTATGAATCAGAAGAGACAGCAACACTACACATGCCACAGGGTTTATTTTTACGTAACATTCATTTCCATTTCATCTCATCTTCGCCTGCTGTTCTTTGCTGGGCTCGCCGGGCCGCTGCAAGTTCCACATGAGGGGGATGAGGGGTGATGTGATGACGACTGCCCCGTCACCCTCACCGCTGCCCTCCCTTTGCCGCTCTGGCACTGCTCGGCTGTGCCCGTGCCCTCTGCCGTGGCCCTGCTGCGGCGCCCGCGGGACCAGAACAAGAATATGGAAGGGTTATTTGATTCACTCGCTGGCGGCGAGCTGGCAGGGCGGGGCAGGCGTCATTAGGTGACGAGACACTGCCGAGGGCGGCCGAGGGCCCTCCGCCCCCTCCCTTCCCCCCCCCCCCTCCGGCACCGCCTGTCCCTGTCTCTCCGTATTTATAGATTGCGCACACAGCGGTCCGCGGTCCGCTCCCATTGCCACGGCCACGGGGCATCGGCCTGACGGGGGGGGGGGGGAGTAGGGGACGCCTGTTGCAGTTCCGTGAATAACAAGCTAGCTTACAGAAAAGTTGATTAAAATGTAATGAAAATTGTACGCTAGACGCTCTCCCTTCTTGTCCTTGTGCAGGACCAGGACCTCTTCCGGGGTGGCAGCACCAGCAACACCAGCAGCACTATCATCATCAGCAGCAGCAGGACTGGGCGGACCACCTCCAGGACCACGGCGGAGGGGCCCCGCCGGAGTACTTCAACGCAGGACCCGGGCAGCCATACGTGAGTGCTCTTTCCAGGGTGGCCGAGTGTGCGCGCGCGCGTGTCAGTGAGAGAGAACTTATTGAAGGGGAGGGAAAGGGTTTGGTAGTGGCGGGGCGGGACGGGGCAGGGACGGGGCAGGGACGGGGCAGGGACGGGCGCGGCGTCCCCCTTTTGCTCTCTCGCACTCCACCGAGAACCTCCCCCACCCCGACGTCCTGGTTCTGGTTGCAGCCCAAGCCTGCGGTCCGCCGCAAGAACACGGGCACCTTCGTGCAGAGCCTTCCCCTGGTCGAGGAGGAAACGAGGCAGGCCGTGTACGACACCCGTGACCACGTCCTCCAGCAGCAAGACGAAGCCGCCGCCGCCGGGTCCTCGTCGGCATCTACCGCCACCGCGGCCCCGTCCGTCCCCGGGCCGTCTGCGCCGCCCAGGCTCAAGAACGGCGTGCGCCTCACGCGCTCAGGAGACTACAGCGCCTTCAGCTGGCAGCTGGCGGGACCTTCCACGTCCGGCCAGCCCAGCGGCCCGTCGGTCGGCCAGGACCCCGTCGAGGCCTCGGGGCCGGTGCGGAGCAGCAGCGCAGAGGCCCTGCAGGCCGGACACCAGCCGAGGCCGTCCAGCGGCTACGGCCTCTTCTCCTTCTTCCGCTGGTTCAAGAAGGGCGGCAAGCAGGCTGAGCAGCCGGACGGCGCCGACGAGCGCACAGAGGACGTGGACCAGTACGACGACGAGGAGTACGATGACGACGACGATGACGACGACGGCTACCTCCGGAGCGGACCGGGCCGGGCCACCAGCTTCGGCAGCATCGACACGGTGCTAAGCACGGCCACCGTGAACAGCTTCGCGTTCGTCCAGCCAGGCGCGTACCCACTGGGGGCCGTCAGCCCCGTGCCAAGGAGGGGGTTCCCCGCGGCGGACACAGACTCGTACCGACAACGGATCCGGCAGCGCGACCGCCGACGGGAGTCGGAGCGGGGCGTGTCCCTGAGGAGGAAGTACCGACTGTACGGCAGCGACAGCACCATCCACAGCTTGCAGCACCGCAGCCACACCGACCTGAGCGTCGGCACTAACGACCGACGTCAAAGTGACGTCGACCGCAAACTAGGTGGACGGCACGCCGACGTTGACCAGGGCGTGGATGGTCGCCAGACATACGCTGTCCGCAAGGCAGATCGCCTCGAGGCAAGCGGTTATCAGACTGAAATTCCCGTTGCCCCCGTTCGACGACAAAGTGACACACCCGATAGCCTTCATCGTAGGGCCGGTGAGGGTGCAAGCGTTCGTCTGAGCGAGGAGCCTAAGGCTCCGGACCGACGGCGGAGTGACACCTCTCAGACACCGGATCGACGTCAAAGTGACGTCTCTCAAACGCCGGATCGACGGCAAAGCGACGCGTCACAGACACCGGATCGACACCAAAGTGACGTATCTCATATTCCAACCCGTCTCCGAAGTGACGCCTCTCAAACACCGGATCGTCGTGAAAAGGACGTTTCACAGACTCCTGAACGAGCGCAGACCATCGGCCCAACACGCCCGAACGACAGCGCCCCGGTCCAGTCGCAGGCGCCCGACGAGGCGCAATCCCAGCCGTGCACGTCCACGGCGCAGAGTGACCTGGTGGGCAGCACCCGGAGCTCTACGCCGTTGACATCGGGATCCTACCCGGACGTCGTCGTCCCCACGCTAGGCAGGAAGAAGCGACGTGCCCCCGAGCCGCCGCCACCCAATCCGTTCAACGACTACAGCCTACCAGCCACCCTCGAGCACCGGGCCCCGCCGGACCTCACCGGCCCCCTGTACGAGAGCGCCACCCTGCACATCGGCCGCTACGAGCACCGCCGCTCCGCCAGCGACACGTCCACGGACAAGCGGCCGGCCCACGTCCGCGGCAAGAGGCGCGCGCCAACGCCCCCCTGCGAGCCCGGGGCCGCCACGCCCGACGGCACGCCTTACGGAACGCCCTTTGGAACGCCCTCCGGGACACTCACGGGCGGCAAGAAGAAGAGGCCGGCGCCGCAGCCCCCCGGCTGGGAGGAAGAGCGGCTAGAGAGGCTGCGGAGGCAAGAGAAAGCGAGGCAAGAGGAGGAGAGACAAGAAAGGGAGAGGCTAGAAAAGGAGAGACTAGAAAAGGAGAGACAAGAAAAGGAGAGGTTAGAAAACGAGAGGATAGAAAGGGAGAGGCTCGAAAGGGAGAGGCTTGAAAAGGAGAGGCTAGAAAAAGAGAAACAAGAAAAGGAGAGGCTGGAAAAAGAGAAACAAGAACAAGAGAGACAGGAAAAGGAGAGACAGGAAAAAGAGAGGGCCGAGAGAGACCGTCTAGAAAGGGAAAGAGTTGAAAGAGAGAGGGAGAGGGAGCTTATGCTGGAGAGACAGAAGCTAGAAAAGGAGAGACTGGAAAGAGAACTCATCGAAAGAGAGAAGGAGAAGCTGCGTCAGGAGGTGGAGCGGCTGGAGAGGGAACGGAATGAGACAGAGCGACTGCTCCAAGAGAAGAATGAGAAGGAACGTCTAGAACAAGAAAACATCAAGCGGCTCGAACGGGAGATCAAGCTGGCCCAGGAGACGCTGGAGCGGGAGCGCTTGGAGAAGGAGAAGCTGGACCGGCAACTCAGGCTGGATCGCAACAAGGACAAGAAGGGCGGGGGTGCGGGGCTGAGCGCCGAGGAGCGCGAGCGGCTGCTCGGCAACATCAACAAGCTGCAGGCGCACGCCGCCAGGATCGGCAGCCCGCCGGGCTCCCCGAGGACTCCCCGGGCCACCGGCTCGCCGCGCACCCCCAGGGCCAACAGCGACATCTGCAGGCCCCAGGCTGCCAAGGAGAACATGGCACCCGGCGTGGCGGCCGCAGCCCCGGGGCCCGTGTCGCCCCGGCCGTGGTACAAGCGATCGTCCTCGTCGTCGTCATCCTCGTCCTCGTCGCACAGGGACAGCGGCGGCTTCAGGGACATCTTCCGCAGCCTGGAGAAGAGGCACAAGAAGTCGGTGGAGGAGGAGGAGTGGATGCCCGAGTCCGGGGTGCCGCGGAGCACCGGCGGCAGTCACGGAACCACGGCGGACAGCGGCAGCGGGGGTAGCAGCCACGGCAGCCGCTTCAACATCTTCTCCCGTCTGACGGAGGACTGGCGAGGCGAGAAGCGCAAGTCGACGCCAGTGTCCATGCTCCCCAACATCAGCGAGCTCGACCGCGAGGCCGCCGAGATCGTGCAGGAGCAGCACGCCCGGGAGGCCGCCCTGCAGGCCAAGCGCGACGCCAAGTTCTACGCCAGCCCCGCCGCCACCGTCGCTGGCGCGGAGCAGGAACCGGAGGCCGCCGAGGTTAGCCCCGCCGATGACGAAGACCTGGAGCTGCCGCGGAAGAACTCGGCCAAAGAGCTCATCTCGCTGTTCAACGCCATCAGCAGCATCCCGGGCAGCTCGGCCGTGTTTGGCAAGGTCCCGGAGGCAGGACCATCAGCGAGCACCTCGGCGAGCTCGTCGCAGGAAGACAAGAGGACCGCCTTCGCCGGCGCCAGGTCCAAGAGCAGCGACGCGGACGACAGGCCGCGAGCGCAGTCCCCCACGGGGCCCCTCACGCGAAGGCAGTTTGCCTCGATCTATGAGACTGGCGCGGAGGCGGCCGCACTGTCGGAGGAGGCGTTCAGGGTGACGGCTCCCATTGCCAACGTAGACGACGACAGCGACCTCGCGCTGTACCCAAGCGCTACGCCCAAGGCCGTGAATGGACATGCCGCCCCCTCAAGCTCCATAACGACGGACAAGAAGGATTTCTCGGTAGATGCGCTCAAAATCACGTCTACCGTGCCGGCGCTCGCCAAGACGGCCACCCATTCGATCTCGGACAGGAAGCTACCTGCAGTGACGGCACCGGAAACTGCAACACCTCCAACCTTGGAAAAGAAGGACCCTTTGCCGAGCGCGGCCAAGGTGGCTGTCTCCCTTGCGGACAAGGCCGCCGTGGACTCGGAGAGGGTCTCGATCACTCAGACGCCCCGCCCAGTGACGCTCAACGGGCTCGCGATGTGGGTGTGTCCCCGCTGCACCCTGGAAAACCCTCGCTGGAGGTTCACTTGCGACGCGTGTTCCATGTGGAGGCCGGCCGAAAGGCGTTCTGTGCGAGAGGACGACGCCGATGTGCCAACGGGCCCACCTGCCTTTCTCAACGAGGACAAGAGGGCACAGGACAAGGCGCTAGAGAAGGCCTCTGGCGTGGCGAAGGCCACCAGTGGGATAAACTGGGAGGTCGAGCTCAAGCGATATCTGGATAAGGATGGGAAGGCCTCGGTGACCGGCAACGCGGAGAAGCCCTCCACCTCCACGTCATCGCAGCACACCGTCGACAAAGTGCACACCCAAGCAGCAGCACCCAAACCGGCCATCTCCCAGTTGCCGCTCGCGGAGACCAACCACCCGCTGAACCACGCAGGAGTCCAGGCTGTGAAACCGCAGCCAGCCAGCTCGGCGATGTCCAGCCAGTCGGTGGCCTCGACCAAAGTCACGCCCACTGCAGCCGCCCCCGTCTCCGCCCCCGTCTCCGCCCCCGTGACCAGGCCGACGATGGCGCCTAGTGCTGGCCAGCAGACCGCGGTTGTGAAGCCACAGCAGTCCACGTTCATCGGGGGGCGCCTCCCGAACGACAGGCCGCGGGCCCCGCTCGCCAAGAGCAAGAGCGAGGACATGACGAACAAGCACTTGGGCCACCTGCTGGGCGGTCAGGGACCTCAGCCAAGAGCCGCGACGGACGTGGAGGAGCTGCGGCGAGCGCGCATCGCCTTTTTCAGGAACTCGGCGTGCGTCGAGGAGGACGCTGTAGGCGACCTGGCCAGCGCGGCCACGCAGACCCGCGACCCCCCCGCCCCGCACCTGACGGAGGACCGCGACCGCTTTAAACTGCGCGAGATGCTCAAGGAGATGAAGGACTCCCTCGCGATCAAGCACGGCGACTCAGCCGGCCCCGCACGGCGTCCAGGGGTGGGGGCAGGGGTGGCGGCCGCAGGGGGCAGGGTGGGACCCGAGGTCCCCGCGGAGGCGAGTGAGCAAAAGAACAACCCCGTCCCGCCGGCCTTGGTCGGAGCCGTGGCCAAGCCCACCAAGGTGTCCTCGTCGGCGCAGACGAGCGCCCAGGTTGTCCGGAAGGTTGAGCCGACCCCAGCGCGCCCCGCCCCCGCCCCACAGAGCCGCGCCCCCGCCCCTCAGGGTGCCGAGCCAGTGGTCCAGGACGGCGTCCTGTACACGTCCCTGCGCAGGGACGCCCCAGAGGCGCGCCGCCTCGGCACCGGCATGTTCGAGCTCATCAGACCTAGGGACTTTGCGACCAGGGCCTCCTCTGGCCCGCTGTACATGAACGTGCTTCCTCGTCCTTCTGTCCAGCGCCATGCTGCTGTTGCTGTTGCCGTCGCCGCTGCGGCCCCCGCCAAGACCGTGTCCCCGTCCGCCGCGCTCGACTCCAGCCCCGAGCGAAGGTCCACGACGGAGTCGGCCGAGTTCGCCACTCCGTCGTCGTCAGCCGCCTCAAGTGCAGCCGGCGGCCTGTCATCGCGCGCCTCGTCGGCCGGCGGCGCCAGTCGTAGCAGCTCTCTGGCGTCATTCTCGTCGTCACCCTCGGACGCTGGCGAGACCGGCGTTCCCTTGGTCCCTCGGGGCAGGTCCGCGGCTTCCTTCGCGTCCTCCCCATCGGGTGGTGCCAGCGGGCTCGGTCTCAGCCGCACCAGCTCGGCGGCCTCCCCCCGGCTCGGGCCGCAGTCCTCCCTTACGTCCTCGAGTCGCGCCAGCTCCGTCGAGACGCCACCGTCGTCGGCCGGACGGCTGAGCCGTGACGCCTCCGTGGAGAGCAGCGCCTCCGGGTCGGCGTCGGCATCGGGTCCGTCTCGCAGCCTCAGCGTGGTCAGCGATTGCAGTGAGGTGGACCGCCTGACGGAGCAGCTGACCGTTCCGCAGGGCATTGCGGACTTCCGAGGTAGGTTCACTCCATGAGAGCTTGGGTGCGTCCTGCCCGATCTCGACCTCATTGCCGTCCCGTCTCTGCCCCGCAGCTGCACTGAACCGCTCGCAGACGCTGGACGCCAACGGCATGCCCGACGTCAACACGTTGGCGGTGAACCGTCTGCTGCGGCGCCTGGAGGCCACCATCGCCGGCGGCCAGCACCAGGAGGCCGCCCGCCTCGCCAAGGACCTGGCGCGGCTCAAGATATCGTGCTGCGTGACCAGGCAGCCTAAGCAGCAGGACAGCATCACGGTGGACATGTACGTCGAGGACAAGCTGTCGCACCAGGGGCCCATCCCCTTGCAGGTGACGCCGTCCATGACCGTGGGCGAGCTGGCGGCCAAGGTGGCGCGCGAGTTCCAGCTGCCCGAGCACGTCCAGCGCTGGATCCTGGGCAAGCAGCTCGCGCAAGACCTGCAGCGCACGCTGCGCGACCACAACGTCAGCGAGTCGGGCTGCCCAGTGTTCCTCTACCTCGTGGCCCCGGGTAAGAACTACTGACTGATAAGTTCTCAAATCTGGTATTTTCAAAAATCACTTTAAACATGTTCCTGTTTTGACCAATATAACGACAAGCGAACCTAACCGCACAAAATCATTACAGAGGCCGACGCAGAGGCGGACGGGGATGGAAGTTCTGCTTCGGGTCACTCCAGCTCGGGAGACCGCCCCTCTAGTGCGACCTTAGAGGGCCCGGGACCTCGGAGACTGCCGCCACCGCCCGCCGTCGGCAACCGACGCGGTGGCTGGTACTACAACTACGAGGAGGACCGGTACAGCTTCTGCGAGGACTCGGACGAGGACCTGTCGGACGGGGAGCCCCACGCACAGCCGACCGTTGCGACCGAGCCGACGCTGGTCGAGAGCACGCCAACACCCGCACCCCGACGGATAACGTCGCCGTCCCCGGTGGCCAGGATGGGAGCGTCACCTGTGCCGGCGTCGACGTCGCCGGCACCCCGGGCAGTGGCGTCTCCGGAGCCGGCGGCCCGGAGGGTGACGTCGCCCATCCCGGCTGCCCGTGTGACGTCATCGCCGACGCCGGCGGCAAGGGACGCGTCATCGCCCACTCCAGCAGCGCGTGGAGTGGCGTCATCGCCCACGCTGGCAGCCCCGGCAGCCTCCCCTGGCCGACCGACCCCGACGGTGAGGGCGGCCGAGGGGTCGCCTGTACCGACGCCCCGCAAAGGCCCCGCCAGCGCCTCGACGCCTGGCCCGGTCGCGCAGCCCCAGCACCCACCGGTGCGGCCGCAGACGTCCGGCTACCGCAGCCAACCGCTGCAGACCGTGCTGGCCACAGCCACCACCAACACGACCACCATCGCGAACGCGCCCTCCTCGCCGCCGCCGACCCGAGCGACAGCAGCAGGTCAGTTGTCAGCTCGGACATAGACACGCCCTCCCCCGCGCTTTGTGTGCTCACCCTATAATGTCTTGCAGGCCCCTTCCACCGCCAGGCTGCCGCCACAGCTGCCTCGGCCGCACCATCTACCTCCAGCGCGACCTCTCCTGCGGCCTCCGCTGTAGCGTCCCCGGCGGCCCCCACCGCGGCCTCCACGGTGGCCTCTGCTGCGCCCGCAGCCACCGCCTCCGGGTCGCAGGTCACGCAATTCCCGGGTAGCTGGAGATGCCCTCGGTGCACCCTTCTCAACTCGGGGGTGCGCCCTGGGTGTGCGGCCTGCACCGCCGAGCGCCCCGCCGCCACCTTCGACGAGGTACAGGATTGTTCTCGCTCTTCTTCACACGGCGCTGCTTTATAAACGATGGATTCTGTATGGATGTGTGCTTGTGTGCAGGGGCTGGACGCAGACGAGCTGGAGCGCCAGCGCAACAAGGAGCGGGAGCGCCAGTACCAGCTGCTCGTCAACCTGGAGCGGCAGGACCTAGTGCCAAGTACCGAGCACTTCGAGTGCCCCGTCTGCCTGACCGAGTACGGCCCGGGCGACGGCGCTGTCCTCAGGGAGTGCTTGCACACCTTCTGCAGGTAAGTGAGGCGAGGGCCCGGGGCCTGGGGGCGAGCGCAGCTCTCGTTGACGGGTGGCTCTCGGTGTCTCATCGCGCTGGTACCGCTGTTTGCAGAGCGTGCCTCATCAACACCGTCCAGTTCTCCGACGACGCCGAGGTCAAGTGCCCGTACCGCGACAAGCAGTACGCCTGCGACGGCATCCTCCAGGAGAGGGAGATCAAGGCGGTGAGTGGATAGACCCTCATAGTGACAAAAGAGCTGCCAAATTTCGCAGCAGTCCTCGACGAGTGACCTACCGGAAGACCAGCAGGGGTCCGCCTAGTAGTCAGGCAATGCTGCGCAGGTGTCTATGGCGGGTGGCCTACCCGGAGTCCGGCAGGGGTCCGCCTAGTAGTCAGGCAATGCAGCGCAGGTGTCCATGG